AGAGCAGTACCTTGTAGAAAAGTGCAATCAGTTCAAGTATGAGCAAATAAAGAAAGCTTTGCACAAAGAGTGCAGAACAAATCTTTTAATGACTGAATCAGAAAGATACACATGCTCACACGGCTGTATTTCATTTTTATTCTGATGTCAGTCAGTACAGTTCATAATTCCACTCTCATATAAGTGATCTGTCATTACTATCCTTATATAGAGTAAGCTGTTGAACAGAGAGCGTAGACTGAAAGAAGAATGTTGATGAGAAGTGCTCAGACTTTAAATGAGTCTATGTAAAAATCGACATCCACAGAGACTGTTTTGGCTACTGGCTCTCTGACAACCCTAGTCACAACCCGCAACAGTTGCCAAGCCTTTGTGCTGAGGACAAATAATCAGAGTTCCCCTTCAACCAAGGGCAGTTACGCTCCCTTCGCTCTTGGCATGCATTGAACATCGCAACCTGGGTCCTCAGAGGGATGATTTGTCATCAAGTGCTTTAGGAATGATACTTCTTATGCTGAGTGATATCAAAATAACCGATATGTCAGGCAGTGTTCTCGCAAATCAAGTTTTGGACTTGCGACCTTGGATGAACTCCAGTATGGCCAGAACAGGAAATGCAGGAGCTACTGTACAGGATAACAGCAAAAACAGACCAGGGAGGCCGGGATGTAAATTGAGTCACATATTTATTACATAAATATATAGTAAAATAGACCAGCGACAATTACCATAAAAATATCTTCCTTTAAAATCCTGACCATAAACAAAGAGTTTGAAAATCACACATTGACACTGACAAACACGCTGATTGTCTGGACCTGTCGAAAACAGCCCACCACAAGAAAACCTGACATCACACCACCCAAAAAACTAGGACTGATAGGTGCAGGAGGAGGAAGGGGTGGTGAATGGGTGGTTGGCGTGACGGAGGTGTGATGATGTGAGAGGAGATCACAGTAGATATTTAGAGGTTTTGTGTGTATTTTTGTTGAGATATTCTGAGTTACACATCCATTTGTCCATTTGGCCCAGAGCTTGCATAAGCTTTCCTGCTTCTCCGTACTAGGTGGGAATGGGTCCTAGACTTCCTGAACCTGGTCCACTGAGCTGAAGGTTGAAACATGCTGTGCCGAGACTCTCAGAACATGATCCGCTGAACTCTGTACTGAACACTACTGCAAAGCAGCTTTACGTTTGATCAATTTCCTGCACTCCAGCCTCACCATACATCTTTAGGTGCATCCAAGCGATGTGACTTCCTCAAGGCCCTGTACAATTACAACGAGGTGTAGCCCGATAACTCTGCATAGGTTAACACAGCGGTTCCCAACCCTGGTCCTGAAGGCACCCCAACACTGCACATTTTGCATGTCTCCTTTCCCTGACACACCAATTTCAGGTCTTGGAGTCTCTACTAATGAGCTGATGACCTGAATCAGGTGTGTTTGATTAAGGAGACATGCAAAATGTGCAGTGTTGGGGTGCCTTCAGGACCAGGGTTGGGAACCACTGGGTTAACAGACTCCCAGCTCTCTCAGCCAATGATCTGTTAGCTGGCCTCTGATTGGTTAGGACTCCTGAGTGACTGCAGACTGTAATGTTGGGATGTTTCCCAGTTGAGTTTTTGATCACAGTGAAGCTAGAAGATTCATGTGTTCTAGAATTATTCGCAATAGCATTGCTGAAGTAAATTTTCCTCAAAATTATTTTTCAGAACCACAAACACACCATTTGCACAATATCTCTGTTAACAGTAAACAATACAATACAAAAGATTCAAATTTCGATTCATTTTTGCAAGTGACACCTGGTTTGTACCTTACCAGTAGGTCCAGATGAATTAAATGCATTCAATATTTTGGCTGTTTTGCTATCAGCTGCCAATTTCAGCTCTATTTAACACATTTTACCATATTTAAATGCATTCTGCATATTTTCCCCTAATATTACTGCCGAAAATGTGCAGGTTCTGTCTGGGCCTATGTATCAGGCACATCATCCAAGAGCAGCTGAACATATGGAAACTGTGGCATGTGACCAGTGGACCACTGAGACGGAAAATGAGCGAAAGCAGTACAAACATGACAGCAAAAACAGACATGCACATCTACTTAAGAGCCCAAAGAGAGCGCTGCTGGAATACAGAGAAAGAAACGACATGGACACTTTTGTTTGCACCTGGATCAAAAACTAATTTTACAGAGAATGTCCAACCGTCCAGAAGCACTATACTGAAAATATCCTTGCAGAAAGGCTTTTTTCTGTAAATTTCATTTATTGTAATTTAATAATAATGCATGTAGATTTGGAATCATCCAGTGTGCAAGGAGGGTTTATGTCCTGTAAGAACCAGCGCAGACGCTGGAGAGCTTCACATGAAGTTCAGGAGGAAACAGAGAGGTTCGACTGAAGCACCCTTTGAGGCCTTATGAGCAAACCTGAGCCAGCCCACACTCAAACCACTCGCTTGGTACCTGTAGCCATTTTATTGCATAATCCATGTATATTCTTGTGAGGTCATTCCTTAAACGTCCTTATGTTTGGCGAGATACATTCCTTACTGTCCATGCATAACCTTTTTACACATCTGAAATAAATGACTCTACAAACACCATGTTCTCAAAGCATAATACCACTAGCACATCTAATCTCAAAACCAAACCAAACTGCAAAACTCTAGTGCAAAATGTACTTGGAATGACATTTGGTTTTGTGGGTAAAGCTACATCTGAGAAATCAAGTACCGTATCACTTCAGTCTCCACTACCCACTTTAAACAATAAGCCGAGCCCTGAAGACCGGTCTGATTGCAGGTCTGATCTCTGTGTGCACTCAATAAACTGCCATTTTGACACTTGATATTGTCTCTGGAGTCCTCAAGTGCACTAAATTCACTCCAAAAGGCTCTTGGTTACAAAGAAAATAAATAAATAAATAATAAAAAAACACTAGAAAACTTCTGCAGCTGCTGCAATTCAATGTGCGTAAGTTGAAAACGAATAGAAAGACCTGTCCATCTTTAGCAGAACATTATCAATTTTCCATGCTGAATATCATTGGCTATAGTCCATCTAATAATATACATCTATTTTTAATACTGTATACAGTACATTTTGAATCAGGCCTCAAAAGGTGCAAAAAGGCAGGAGAACAGAAAGGCAGAACAGCATGAAGCCTCATAATCAAACAATAAAAACACTAACATTTACTGTTTTCTTCATGCGGTGACATGTGGAATAGGGCTGTCACATTATTAGATTTTTAATATATGATCATCATGGCCAAAATACATTATTGCGATATTTATCAAGTTAAATAAATAAATAAAAAATAAAAATAAATAATGATATCACTCAAATTAATCTTTACATTTATTTTGTGTTTTCAGAAGAAGAAAAAAAGAGTCGCCATCAAAATGTGGATCTAGGGAAATGGAGAGAAGGATTGGTAAAGAGTGTACAAAAAGAACGTTAATATATATATATATATATATATATATATATATATATTAACGTTCTTTTTGTACACTCTTTACCAATCCTTCTCTCCATTTCCCTAGATCCACATTTTGATGGCGACTCTTTTTTTCTTCTTCTGAAAACACAAAATAAATGTAAAGATTAATTTGAGTGATATCATTATTTATTTTTATTTTTTATTTATTTAACTTGATAAATATCGCAATAATGTATTTTGGCCATGATGATCATATATTAAAAATCTAATAATGTGACAGCCCTATTCCACATGTCACCGCATGAAGAAAACAGTAAATTTTAATATACATCTATTTTTAATACTGTATACAGTACATTTTGAATCAGGCCTCAAAAGGTGCAAAAAGGCAGGAGAACAGAAAGGCAGAACAGCATGAAGCCTCATAATCAAACAATAAAAACACTAACATGTACAAAACATGCACAGCACGCAGTTTATGAACAGCCTTAAAATGTGTTTTTGTATACTACAATCAATATCTACACTGGTTTATGGCTCCAAGAGTCAGGTTGTTGGTCTCCAAGAGAGACAATTTAGAGAAAATGGACAGTAAAGGGATGGATAGGACTTATTTTCAGCTTTTATACCCAAGATACAGAAAAGTGGTCCAATTTTGACCACATTGTACCCAAAAGGTAACACTTCAGAATTTCATTTTCTGCAGGGGACCAATCAAATTTCACTGCGGTGCTTCTGAAACTAGCTTTTTATTAAAATATATTATACTGGCTTCCAATTCCTTCAGTGCTGCTGCTGATTTGCTTATTGCAGTTCTAAGGGTTCTCCACACTGTGTTAAAGCTTATAATAAGGACAGGGAGAACTGAAAGCCTATCTAGATTGATTGCAGTACGGCAGTTAATTGTAACTTCCTGATGCATGCTGGCTAAATGCTGCCTGGCCGCTGAACGTGGAGAGACTTACTCATAAAAACAAAGTTCATAATGGAATAGTCCTGCTGGTTGACAGGAAAAGAGTTAGTGGTTACTTACTCACAGGGTTCAAAAATAACTTTTTTACCACACTGGCAAAAGGAGGGTGAATTTCAAGAATTTACCAGACATAAAGCTGGTGTTTATATATATATATATATATATATATATATATATAT